ATGTCTGCAAAAATTTGCACTCACTTTAACAATGGACTGTCCATTAAAAAACAATCATTGGCTCCAAGGTGCTTGTAAACTATAAGGATTCTATGTATCACTAAAGTAAGATTTAATAAAAAGCTATTCTGTGAAATAAAAAATGAAGTAAAAAGCACCTTGTAAGAATTTAAAAGAGTATCCTACCTGATGAGAGGAGCTTTCTGCAGCAGTCTGAAAATCCACTTAATGCTGCCAAATGGAGAGGAAACATCCCATGTATACCCCGCCTAAGATACACCATAATCAGGTATCACAGTTTCAATTACAATTAAAATAAAACAAACATGATTGTGTGCCAAAGTGCATATGCATGGTGGGTTTGGCAAAACCACCTAATTAGAATATTAAGCTAACTTCACATCTTAAACACTTCCAAGCTATCAGCATGCATTATGAGTGCAACAGCCTATTAGAACTTTCAGAGCTCTTATTTCAAATACATTACAGAAAACTCTATTTGTTTTGGTAATATATAGTGATATACTGACTAGCTACTTACTGACTAGCTACTTACTGACTATTGTACTTACAAGTACAATACAGGATAATAAACAAAGTATTTCCTATTTCAAGTTGAAGATGATATTAAAAATTGTATTAGTTCTGTTAACCTAATAAACACACTTGTAAATTATGTCAGCTTGCATTCATGTCAGTAAAGTTACCTACTTTGCAGTGTCAGCACCACTCGTAATCAGAGTGTTGATTAATAGCTCATGGCCATATCTAGCTGCTATGTGCAAAGGGGTATTTCCATTCTTATCTTCACAGTCTATTTCAGCTCCTATAATAAAGAGTAATTGCTAAGTAAGGGTATATGTAGGCATACAGATACTTTGTGAGAAAAACAGCACTGATGATTGTTCAAGCAACGTTATTAATTTTTAGTGACTGACTAGTTTGGATTTAAAACGTATATATATATTTTAGTGGTAAAAAAAGCATTTTATTATATAACCTTATGGGACAAACTCTCTACACCCTGGGTTATGGAAAACTATATATATATATATTCCTGCATTCTGAAAAATAAATGGTTCATCAGTGTAACTTATCAAACTTTATAAAAAGATATGCCATACTCCACCACTATTACTGGACACGAAAAGAATTCAGCATGTTGTTCCCAATACAAGAGGATGAAAATATCCAAACTGGAAAGCTTATGACAAAAATACTCCCTCCCCCTTTTTACCATTTTGAATGATGGTTTGGGATCTTGAAAATCTACCATGGATTGCTGTCATGTGCAAAGGTGTTTTCCCATCTTTACTCTGGAAAAGAAAAAAAAAAATAATCCCACGTTTACTTATGGCCTGTAGCGGCAATCAATCAGAACTGACAAAAAAGAAACCAACAGAAACGACATTTCTTTCTTTTTTTCTTCTTTTTGTTTCTACACTCCACCCTTTAAATCACTTCTATGCACTTTTGCCAGACAGATACTGGCAATGACAAGTCAGCATGACAGGGCAAGCTTTCCACAAGAGCTGTTCTTAGTCACTCTTCCACCTGCAAGTGACAACTCAGGGATGCCCACTCACTCATACTTATGTCCTTAAGATAATAACTCTCAAGAGGATAATGACAGCACAAAATTTCAGCAACACGTCTATGTCTGACCCCTCCCCTCCCGAAGGCTAAAATAAAACAATATTTTAAGTTTATTTCTTGGAAGAAAGTAGCTGCATTTACTACAAGTGTTTACACATTATAAAGCTCGTGTGTTTCCTGGAAATTTCTGTCAGGTAATGTTTGTAAGCAATTTATCATAAACCACAAGGAATCCTAGGGTAGAACAATTCAACTCTACTAGGTACTATGTTTGAAATGCACACCTTAAATGTGCACTTAAGTCATTCACCCAGTAAAGACATTCTTGAACCAGGCCAACACACAAGGAAACTTCAGTTTTTTACAGCTCAGTCTCAATGGACTTACAAACCCATTTTTCCTGTTGCTATTACTTTGGAATGGTTTTCCTCTCGTACTTATCACAGGTAATGGTAAAGCTTTACTGCAGAAAAAAATTCCTACAC